CTTATTAAACTGTTATTTTCAGGTTTCCTACCATTTAAAGGTAATTTTGTATGTGGCCAAAATAACTCAAAATACCGTGACTGAGCCCCTTTAAGCTCCGATACTCGTCAAACTCAACTAGAAAAAAAAACTCAACCTGACAACTGTAACAGTACACCTTTTTAATAAAATCTTATGCTTTGTCAGTTAACAAACATTAAGAAGCAGTGATTAATCGGTTTTTATTTTTTGTTACAACAGAATCACAGATATATACGATAAAACCGGCTGTAAAGAGAGGTCTCGGTGAAGATAACGATATTGCAGTGAACGTCTGAAAACGATAACCATAAATTAAAAAGCATTTTGCTGAAAATTGATCACAAGATTTCCCTTCCGTTTTTGAAAGTGTTACCCAAGGACAAACCTTGTGCAGTAGCTATGCACTCGCCTAACAGAAAAGTGAGTAATCGAGTCACAATCTGAATAACGAATTAAGACTTTTTATTCATTGACTTTATTGATATATTAAAAATTATCGCCGGGTTTGCCTTCTCATCCTTTTTCCTGACAAAAAAAAAAAAAGATATGAAATGTTACCCTATATCGATGCTCGTGATAAATGTGAAAGAAGAACATTCATTTCCAAAAGTAACACTGTCAGTTGATAACAAGAATAAATTTGATGTTTTTTGGAATTTATAGGTTTTTGACTGCATTCAGAAGGAAACATCAAGCTATTATCCTGAGTACCAAGCATGTTTTCCATGTATGGAAAATTCACTGGTTACGGTCAAGCAAACTTTAAAGCCGTATGTTTAAAACCCGGGAAACCGCTAAAACAAGTTACACTCACTGATTTCAGTGTACGTGTGTTTGACTTTTGTTTTTCATTTGTCGATCCTTCCTTAGCTAGAAGTAATATATTCAGATATGGCTTTGAAGTACAAATGTTTTAAAACGGTCACGTACAAGACGGTTATTAACTAGTTATTAATTAATTATTAATTAGTTAATTAGGGTGGTCTGTACGTAGGTTTAAGAGTTCATTCAACTGGGTGTTGGAGTGACTCCACTTCTAACTGGCTGCATAGAAAAAGTTTCTGGTCAACTCATTATATTTTTGTTAAAACAGAGATTCCTTGATTGGAAAGTAACTTGTTAACAATTATATACCGCGCTAGACAAACACAAATTTCAGCGAGAGGGATTTCCTTGGATGACTTCACTCTTTAATTAAAGCTGTAATGCACCATCAGATAATGGTGTAGTCAGTACCAATCTACGTTCGTTCTCAGATGTACTTTTGTCAGATATAAATTTTCAAACGATTGTTTTATACTTGGCTTCCCCGCGCTGAGGGAATTGCAAAACACTACGGTGAAGTTTTTGAAAAACAGTGTAAACAACTACTGTTCATCCTCAGCAAAAATAAAACAAAAGAAAGAAAAAGGGAAAAAAAAAAACCTCTCTGAAACGGATTTGGACCGGTGACCGCGTGACGGTAATACTGCATCTTAACAACAGTAGCGTGACACGAAACATGATGTAATCATTTAGACCTCAGTTAACCATTGCGCATCAGTAGAGACTCTTGCCAAAATTAAATTGCTCATTGCTCAGCTATAAACAAATCAATCCAAAAACAAAAAAGACGGTTTTAAAGTCAATGATGCAGGAATGATGTTGGTTAAATTTCAGATCTATGGCTTCCATTCTCAAGCTAGAAAAAAAGAATTTGTTAAATTACAAAGTTTGTATGGGAACGCTATATCGGTATGTTCATTGGGAATTACTCAGCTATGGAAAAACTATATCCAAAAGCAATTGACGAAAATTGTAATTTCCTTGCTCAGATATTTGAGTTTTGCTCGTACAATATCGGCTGAAGCCTGGTCTTTAAATGGCAGAACAACGCGACCAGGATCTGTTAACAGCTGGTAACTCGGGAACCGGTTGATCACAAGCTTTGACTGCACTAAAGCGCGAGATGGTGGAATTGGTAAACCTGTGTGGGTATTCAGTCGAGAAAACAACATTTTGAGCCGCTCACATTCCTCGGAAAAGTAGGACCAGTTGGAAGAGAGATGGAAGGCGGAAGGCACGATCAAGCAAAGTTTGTAATTGTAGCGATCAAAAACATGGCTCTTGTAATGCAGCAGAAGGCCAGTGTTGGTAGGTTCTTCTTTGTTTTATATTTAATAATAATTTATTTCTTTGCGATCATCGCGATAATTGACTGACTGATTGACTGACTGACTGGCCGGCTGACTGTCTTACTGACTGACTGACTGACTGACTGACTGGCTGGCTGACTGATTGACTGACTGACTGGCTGACTGACTGACTGACGGACTAACTGACTGACTGACTGACTGTCTTACTGACTGACTGACTGACTGACTGACTGACTGACTGACTGACTAACTTATAACTACCTTTTTGCAGAGTAAACTATACCTTTAAGATGTTGTCCTGAATTCCAGGCATCCAGCAACTTTGACGATACTTTTCGTTTTCTCCCTGAGTGACGTGATAGAAAAAATATAGAGATATTTAATAGTACAGTAGACAAATGCTACAGAACATTGTTCAATTCCCAAGCTACATTAATACATATACCAGCAGTGTATCATCCAGCTACTGCCGATATAGCATGCAGCGAACACTGGAAATAAGAATGTAATTGTGCATTTGGTGAGATCAGAATATCAGAGGTTAAGAACAACTGAAATTTTCAAACACCTAGCCCTAAAATTGGTCGCGCTCACTTCCGAGAGTTGATTAATTAGGGAGTTTGTACAATACCATGTATTAAGTGATTGAAGACCCATAACCAACGAGAATACCTTGGCCATCATTCGTTTGGGCGGCGGGCTGTAAATCGCCCCCTGTGGCATCCTCAGCTGAAATTATGATTTAAAAATGCAAAACCACCGAGTCTACAGGCAAACGTGGTCTATCTGATCGTAACACAGGAAAGTTGTACAATACTATGCATACTGATTGAAGACGGAGCGAAAATATTACCTTGGCCATAATCTTTTTGGGTCCCAGCCTGTACAGGGATTACAGCCTCATCCTCGGCTAAAGAACAGGTTTAAAAAGACAAAAATGCTGTCTGAGTCTCATC